CTGTTATCCTTCCCTAAAATCAAATGACGTTGAAAACCAGTTCTTCACATTTGGAGAAGTAGCCTGGCTGCGAGTGTTGTACTGTTCAGTACAACACTCGCAGCCATAAAGGGAGCACACATCACTAGACACGGTATACACAGAATATAAGAAAAATGACTCCCATAGTGGAAGAACCATACGCGAGATTGAATTAAGACGCATAAGATGAATAACCTTAACAAGTTTTAGTGTATAAAAATTTATTATAACTGACGAATATGTACTTTTTAAATAATTTTACAAAGACATATAATGGCAAGCAATGTAATAGCTTAGCGTAAGTAAAGCACCTGATGATGGCACTATGTTGCCGAAACATGTCATGAAGTAACAGGTGAAATTGAGTGCACTAGAAGACAGCCACCGCATACATATCATGGATGAAAATCAGTGCAACAGGACGCTAAAATACATTATAATTAGAATGATCAAGTCAAGGAGGATGAGGTGGGGAGGGCATGTAGCATGGATGCGGGAGACGAGGAATGCATATAGGACATTGGTGGGAAAGCCAGAAGGAAAGAGACCACAGGGAAGACCAAGGCATAGGTGGGTGGACAATATTAGAATGGATCTGAGAGAGACAGGATGGGATGGTATGAATTGGATTGATCTGGCACAGGATAGGGACCAGTGGAGTGCTCTTGTGAACACGGTAATGAACCTTTGGGTTCCATGAAATGCTGGGAAATTCTTGAGTAGCTGCAGAATTGGCAGATCCTCCAGAAGGTCTCAGCTCCATGAGTAAGTATGTAAGTATATAGATACAACAGAAAAACAGTGAAATTAATTTCATTATCAAACGAAATATTTACCTTAGTAACTTCTGCCTGCTATGTCGACTCCTTTCTAAGGCACACTCATCTAAGTAGCTAATGAGAATCTCATCTCCTGGAGCTATGTCTCTCACAGCACACATGGCCAGCTGGAAATTACTATGTGGGAAGGTGGGTGTTGCATTAGGATCACAGCTGTGGTTGCAAACACTTTGCAAAGCATACAGTGCAGAGCCCTCATTGTTAAGGAAAGTACCAACCTCTGTGGATCAACCAAAATATAATTATAGACATAACTGTTCCTGTAATGGGATAAAAACAAGTTCATAAAAAACAGTACCATAGAATATTCCAAATTTTATGCATTATCTGCAAAAAGCTTATAAAATAAACACATAATCAGGATGGTATCTATTAATGTAAGTCCAAAAGTTCAATCTTTGAAACTACCCCAGAGGTTTTAATTATATTTGGTACTGGGGATCTACATTAACCCTGTAAAGTGGGGTTACTTGTCATCATGGCATGGCATGGCATGGCACGTCCTCAGACCGAAGATGGAGGAAAGTGCCTGCAGGTATGGAGGGTAGCTGCAACTATACTGAATAAACAGATGTAAAAGTTGACAAGTGTTAGTTCTCCAGATTTCTGGTTGGGCAGAGAGCTAATAATCCCTCACCACCAAAAAAAAATCATGTTACACAGGGAAAATAAGCAGGACTCTACTCCATGTAGTTAATTAAAGACTATATGCTAAATACTCATGGGTAAATTTTATTTTGGTTTACATGATTCGTATATGACGCCTACTTGTTTTGTGCAATACTGAAATTGACCTTCAGAACTTCTCAGACATGATATAAAATACGGATCACAAGAAATCTTTGAAGCTGACCTGAAACAATTTTGATGTAAAGAATATAATGGTGGTTCCAACTTAAGAATGAGGTGGCAAGAAAATATTCTCATAATATAGTATGCAGAAAAGGATTCTGAACAGGAAGACACCAAACTGAAACTAAGATGTGCAGTAACATAAAACTGCTAGGCTGGCTTCAATATGTGCTCATATCAAGAGACACAGTCACTGCAGATGAATATGCCTTACTGTTACTATGCCACAGAAATACATCAAAAACAATGTAACTCCAATTCAAGATTTGTCTGAGGGACAATTTCTTTTTATCTTAAATGGGGTTGTTGGAGCGTAAATTGGCTTTTAAATGTAGCTAAATCAGAAACAAGTCGCTGAATCTTGTTCACTTAATAAAATTGAAGTTTTTTATTTCTCAGAGCATACCCCACACCAACTTTCCTCTTCAAAAATCAAAGATTTCTGTAGAATTGCATTACTTAATGATGACAGAGGCAGCACAAAACACTTCACATGACACAGTTGGATTATTTCTTCAAAATCACATCCAGAAAAGCACTTGAAATCACACATTGAAAGCACATCACACTTGAAAGCAACACAAAAAGAACAAACAGTAAACACTTCCACCTGATATAAAGAATAAATAAAGAACTCACAGACAGCCACACTGCGTTGCATGCCATGCAAATGATGACCTTGATCTACATTAAGGGTAGTCATACACAAGTTGGAACATGCCCAAAATTTCCTTCGATGCTAAAACTATATCCAAAACACGTGGAAATCAAAGTTACATACATAAAATGCTAGCACACCCTTAAATCAGAAAACGATAAATCATGGAATATAATACATAAGCTTTGGTTGGAAGCAAAAAACGTACCTTAAATGCTGGAAAACATTAAATGCGGGTCCCTCAAACCAGTGTTTCATTGTCTACAGTTACCATGTATGGTTACTACTCTGTGCACACTTGAATAAGTGAGCAAACCAATCTTTTCTCATGTTACTGGGTTCTGACAGTGTGCTACCACCACTGCTTGGAAGTATTTCTTCCTCTGTGTACACTGGACCTTAGCTGCATCCAAAAATTTGATATACACAATACTCACACCCAATTTGGTACTGTAGCTGTTTTCAGAAACTTCCACAATAAAATGTAGTAATAACATTTTCCACTATCACAGTGGCATGAGTCACAATTTTATAATAAAAAGCTTCAAGAAATGCAAAGTCATAAATGTCCAACAGTTCCAGTGGAAGCTGTCCCACCTTCATTTAAATCCTCATACAATTTGTCAATGAATGAATCCAGCTGCTGTTTCTCATCTGCTGCTAGTTCCAGTTCAGACACCTTCTTCACCCACTCACTAAACGGGCTCGTACCAACACCTTGGCCATTGGTTCCCACTAATGCCATAAGAGACTGGAATCCATCTGGTGAGAGCCACTAAAATAAGAATATAAAAACTAATAGTGAACAAAAAAGCACGAAGACAATATTTCTTTTTTTTTGGGGGGGGGACATATCACCAATCCTTTCAGTTTAGTATGAGTAAATACTTAACTATTTCAGAGCAGAGATACAGGTAACACAGAGATAGCTAATAAATACCCCAGAAGTACTCTGAAACAGTAGTAACTAATCAAGATTATATTTATTATGAAGTTATGAGCTCATTAAATTTAGGGAATCATTGCTACTGTCCAATTTTAGATCTTTTACCTTCCCAACTCTTATTTAAAAACCTAAATATTAAAACAAAAGAAACAATTCTGTTGTACCGCAGGATCCTGTTGCACATTATCTTTTTTCAGTCTCATGTGAAAACTTGTGTTAAAATCTTCATATTCATGTTTTTGGAATTTTAAATATTTTTCACGTCACTTGTGCACTACATGTTTTGACCAATGTGGTCATCATCAGGTGCTTCGAAAACTGTATAGTGTGTCAGTGATGTGATAAATGATTTGAAATTAAAAAAAAAATGAATTTTAAGATTTTAACACAAGTGACTTATGGATGAGCCATAGGCTTACTTTCTTTTTTTTTTCACAAGAAATACATACTGTTATAATAAAACCATTACTCCCTTCCAAGATTTATTCCCATTCACTGTCACACTCATCCCACTGTCCTGGTAAGACTCAATCAACAATGAAATGTGCCACCATGAAAACAGTTTTGTCACACTGTTATCGATCTCTTAAAAATTGAAGTTCACCAACACCAAATACAATATTATGATGAATAAAGGAAGAGAAATATATATAAAATTTTAGTAAGAAAACCTGAAAAGAAGAAAACTACTTACATTGTAGACCTGGGCATAAATGGGAGGATTATACTAGAACGGATCTTAAATAAACAGGATTGAAGAGTGTGGAATGACTTCATTTGGTTCTAGACAAGGACCAGTTGAAATCTACTGTAAACACAGTAATGAATCTGTGGGTTTCCTAAGGAATTTCTTGACAAGGTAAGCGACTGTTAGCTTCTCAAGAAGGATCAAGTTTCCCTTGTGCAGAAATTAGTAAAATGATGACTGTGCATGCTGGATCACTGACCACATGATTCAGCAACTTTAAGTCAGATATTATTGGAGTCAAGTTTGTACTGTGGTTGCAGAAAGTGCTTTACTGACACAGTGTTTTGTTTATCAAAAACTGATGATACAAGGAATTTGGTCATCTCACATTAAGAGTTCTTTATTGATCTGTCATTTTTGGAAAAATAATGATTAGACTGTGCATTCCCATATGCCCCAAAAATAAAACACCAATCTCTATGTTTGAAAAGCCCTATGTCATCAGACCAAACACAAACATGTATCAAAATGCTGATTTGCATTCTCTGTACCAAATGAATTAACCAATACAAATTTGTTCNAAAAATTTTTCAAAAAAAAAAAAAAAAAAAAAAAAAACCTACATTGATTTTTTTTTTTTTTGCAGCAGTGCATTTATCAGACAAGACAAACTTTCTGGCTAGACAAATGGATTTTCTGTCACAATAATTTGCCTTCCCACACAGCACTTTTACTGGTGCAATTTTTGGTCAAACCCCAGTTTCAGAACATATGTCATATTTATCTGAATTAGTCCTATGTGACTTCTTCACACCCTGGGACTAAAAATCTCCTTAACCTTCTACAAGTTTTTATATGCACCACCTGAACATTAAATATCTGTGCATTTTTCCCAGACTGGATTTGTCTCACATAATTTACAGAATAAACAGTGATAAATTCCCTACAGCATTAACCAACTATTTTTTATAATGGAGATACACAGTGTTTTCTGTGGTGACTGAATTTTTAAATATTATTTAGAAGAAACTTGTCTTTCAAAAGGTTAAAAGAGTCTCATTGTGAACTGCCTGAAGATATCTTGAATACTGTCACAACAGTACTGAATGCACCTGCGAAAAATTATCTCCTGCAATATTTCCAGACATGGGGGACAAAGTTGCTTGCGTCCGTGATTCTTTAAGTCATACGTGTCCCCTGGGTAGTGCAAAATGAGCAACAAACCTGGCAAAGCTTCCCAAAAGAAAAGTGCAAACTTCTTCAAGATGCAACAAAGCAAGAACTTGCGTGCTCTCTATTGGGAAGCTAGAAGCAAAATGGGTTAAATGATCCCAAATGCAGCCACTGGAACCAACCAATATTTCCAGGCATGGCACTGGCACTGATGCATGTATAAAGTTAGGAAACTCTGAAGACAGCCATACTAATTAAACGACTGCAATAATTTTCCTTTTAAAAATTCAGTCTGGTTGTTTGCCTATCAGACTTCGCATATACAAAATGGAACCACAGAACATGAGTAGCACTAACAACAATCCAGAAGATGTTCATGCAGTTGGTGAGGGTTAATAAATTTTAAATCCAGAACTTAACCTGTTGTACACTGTCACTATAGAGTGCCTTAACCATCAGCTCCTGCAGCACCTGCATCTGTCCTTTGAACTGCTCTCCCAGCAATTTGTGCGCTATCTCCTGCTCCTCATTCACAGTTCGATGACAGAACTGCAAACATCAGTTCCAAGTAACTGATCCAGTTTTGGTAGATGCAGAACTATAATGCTACACACAACTAGTTAGGAAAAGATAAGTTACTTCTACATATGTAGACAATTATAAAAGATCCATTATAAAACTACTACAAAACAGAAAGCAGCATATAAGACAAATAATTTATAACATCCTTCACACATCTCCCCCTAATGCATGCATTTTAAATTCACATTAAAATAAATACATCTGCATACATATCTTAATTGATATGCCTCCAGAAAGAGGGCAAGACAGCGATCAGAGTCTCATGTCAGAAAATGAGGCTTTTAAATAGTTTAAAGTGTAGATTACCACTATCAAGGGATTCATTAAACTATATAAATAGATATCACAGAATCTATAAACGAGTTATCTCTGAAGCTAAGAAAAGGTATAATGACAATCAAATACGAGATGCTACAAATCCAACTAAGATGATGTGGCAGATAATAAATAAACAAATGGGAAATGCAGGTAGGGCAAATCATGATATATGGTTACAAAACAATTCAAAGAAAATAATACACCCGCAGAAGGTGGCGAATACATTAAACTCTTATTTTATTGATAAAGTTGAAGAACTGGTGGAGGAAACTAGAAATAGAAATAATAATAGATTACCACAATTATTAGTCGACCGAAATCCAAACTCCATGTATCTCTTCCCCATTTCTGAAGATGAAATTGTGTTAGTAGTAACTAAATTAAAAGGTAAAGCCTCTGCTGGAGTTGATGAAGTCCCTGAATTTTTATTAAAAGCATGTATTCAATGTATAAAAAAACCACTTACATTCATTTTTAATGAGTCTTTAAACCAGGGGATTTTTCCAGATTTATTAAAAATTGCAAAAGTTAGGCCTGTTTATAAAAAAGGGAACAGACAAGAAGCTAGTAATTATAGACCGATAGCGCTTTTATCTGTATTTTCAAAAATATTGGAAAAAATAATGTATTCTAGACTGGTATCTTTTACTACAAAATACAAAATTTTAACAGAAAATCAACATGGGTTTCAGAAAAATAAATCAACTACATCGGCGTGTCTGTCCTTCATTGGAAAGGTCCAGGAAGCATTGGATAGGCGGTTAGGGGTGGTAGGTATATTCTTTGATCTCTCAAAAGCTTATGACGTTATAGATCATGATATACTTCTTGAGAAATTGGAGCATTATGGAATAAGAGGGAATGCCATAATTTGGTTAAAATCCTACCTTTCTCTACGTTCTCAGTATGTCGAAATAACTTCAAATGACAATAAATATCGTAAGAAGAGGTATAATTCCTCATTTAAGAATGTAAAATTTGGTATACCCCAGGGTTCCATCCTGGGCCCACTGTTGTTTTTACTTTATATAAATGATTTACCCTATCATATATTTGACGGTGAAGTTGTCCTTTTTGCAGATGATACTAACATATTGGTAACAGATAAAAATATAAATATTCTCCAAGATAAGATAGGAGAGGTGATGATCCAGTTAGAATCGTGGTTTTCAAAAAACAATTTGATTATAAATACGGAAAAGACCAAAGCAATGCTGTTCCAATTAAACAAATCATACTATATGTCTGAGCCAGTAATCACCTTCAAAAATATGAAAATTAGTTATACCTCACAGTTTAAATTTTTAGGTGTTAATATATCAAATAACTTAAAATGGAGCTCACATATTCAATCTTTATGTCTAAAATTAAATAAGGTGTGTTATATTATAAAATCCTTGAAAGATGTAGTGAGTTTCTCTACGCTCAGGAATGTTTATTTTGCTAAATTTCAGTCCTTAATAAGTTATGGTTTGATTTTTTGGGGGGGAGAGTGTGAAAGCAGTAAAATACTGAAAATACAAAAAAGGATACTTCGATTAATAAAAGGCGTAAATAGTAGAACTACATGCAGACCAATCTTTAAAGATCTAAAGATCCTAACTGTTACCTCTCTGTACATCTTTGAGGTATTGTGCTACTTTCAGAAATTTAATCTGTATACTACTAGAAATTCAGATTTATATGAATATAATACTAGAAGAAAAGAGGACTTCCATGTACTAAGCTGTAGCACATCTACCTCTAAAAAAAGTGTCATAAATATGGGTATTAAAGCTTACAATAGATTGCCTTTGAAAATAAGAAAATTAAATGGATTCAAAGATTTTAAATATAAATTAAAATTATTTTTACTTGATAATCCATTTTATACAATGAAGGAGTTTCTCTTTGAGGGACTGCAGGATGAATAGAGAAACTCTGCTCAAAATCCTTAATGATGATTTGATGATGTGTTTTTATCCTTGATGAGTATGGTTGTGATGGTTACTTTAGTAACTTGATTTTAAAGTAGTATTTTTAAAGTTGGTCGATTAAGCATAAAGGCAAATAAACTTGAAATTAACTTATTTATATTTAAAATAATCCAAAATTTGTGTACTTGTATTCTGTATTGTAGTTTTAATTAGAGTATGTCTCTGTTGACTTAGGAACCCTTTAGGCCGTGGGCAAAGGATTCCCGAATGATTGTACTACATGTTATGACTTGTCCATGTGTTACTTTGTAACAGTTACGGATGTTAATAAAGATGATGATGATGATGATGATTAACTTTCTTTACAATAAAACCTCTATATAATCTGGTTGCTGCAAAGAGTAATTAAATTATCACAATTTAATAATACAACGTCCAGCTTCTTCAACTCATAACCATTACTCAAGGCTAATTTTGTCTTATTCCAAGGTACATGATTTAAATTATTTCAAGAGCAGAGGCCTTAAAACTATTCTGGGCTAATAAGAGTAGGATAATGGACTCCAAAGCTTGTTCCACCGATAACCATCCACCAACAAATATCCTCTACTGAGGAATGTACATTAACTTTCACTACTTGGAATGTTCTTGGGGGTTAAGGTCGGCCAGCGCGTAAGGATTACAACCTTACTGCCATCTATGAGCTGACTGTCTAGAAAATGTGGGAACCTCAACATCTCACAACCCTATGGGCCTCCACGGCCTGTTACAGGGATACCTTTACTTTAAATGATACAAATTCCGTCCCAAGTGCAAACAATATATATTATATGTCTATTGTGTGTCTATATGTCTATATTGTGTGCTGCACACAATACAGCAGACAGCACACGTAGTACAGACAAGCAGCGGCACCCACACAAGAAGACTACATTAAATAACACCTGTACAGTGTGAAAACAAGAACTAGCCGCTCAAGCACTTAGACATAGGGCGTGTAACCCTAAGAATTTTAAATTTTAAATTTAAAATTTAGAGAAAATTTTAAAAAGTTTTTAAAAACATCATAACTAAAGATTTTTAAAGTGCTACTACAAGAACATCAAAATTGGACGTGTGCAACATAATCTACATACCAGACACATATCAACGATGTAGATGTTGATAATACGAAGAATGTGACATTGTGTTTTTAAATGTTAAATTTTAGACCGGGTTCAGTGTGGCAGCAACGTTAAGAGTATACACCTGATGATGGCCGATAGAGGCCGAAACATGTAGTGTAGAAAGAACAAGATCAAAGACATATAATATATATTGTTTGCACTTGGGACGGAATTTGTATCATTTATCGTATAGAGTGCAACAGGATGCTTAAATATAATATTGTACCTTTACTTTACTTTTTTTTTTCTTTTACTCTGCAAATTGCACTCCTATCCACACCCACCATCCCTACGTGTCTTACTGTAATCCCACAGAAAACTGTCAATTAAATTACCTGCATGAAAAAGTGCAAGGCATTGGCTGGGTCCTCTGCCTGCTGAACTGTTGCAATCATTCGAGCCAGAAGCATGACTGAAGTAGTTTCTGGAGGGTAGTGCATGTGTCTGCAACAAGCAGCACAGGTATTGCAACTACCCCAAACTGCCATCTTCAGACACAGACATAGATGCCACTCAATATGAACCATATGGATGTCATCCTAAGCTTTGTATACAACTTAACAGAATGTCTTAACATGTCACAGGATTAATAATTCCATTGGGGTGACCAAATTTTGTCCTCATTCTAATTCCTACTAATACATGTGGAACATAACCTATTTTTCCTTTGGTGTTTGAGTCCTGCGTCAGGGTTCAGTGACCGCCTCTTTGGTATAGTGGTCAGAGTTCCTGGCTACAGATCCGGGTTCGATTCCCGGCGCTACCAGATTTTCTGAGAAGTAGTGGTTCTGGAATTGGGTCCACTCAGCCTTGTGAGGATAATTGAGGACCTATTTCAAGGAAATATCAACTCTGGTATAGAAAACTGAAATTAATGGCTGTGGGGATCTGCTGCACTGACCACGCGACACCCTCTATCCGCAAAAGTTGGCACTAACTTCGCCAACAAGTGACAGTCGCTCAGTCAGTATAGTTTGGTTGCGGATTACAGACAAAGGAGTTTGTTTCTGTTTGTTTGTGTCAGGATTCATCCTGAAGATAGTGACTACAATGTATGCTAAAACACTGAACAGCTTCAACATATAACACGGCTGAACATTGAAAGCCAAAGTGATACTAAAGATAACTACAAGTCTAAAATCTAATAGTCATGTTCACTATCTATGAATCCTAACAAGAGACAATGAATGATTGACTGCATAATGATCAGACTTTTGGGATATGATGCTGTTTAGCTTCGATGATGACACCGATGTTTCTGAGACACCAGCTGCCTCCATCTACAAGGTAAGGGATGGGGGGGCAACAGGTTCCTTCACAATACTGACATGTAACACGCCACACATCATCACATCCTGTTAAGTCCATGATGATATCCACTGCCATAAGAGAGTCAAAAATGTAGCAACTGACTGCATGTTCATGAATACCCTCACCATTCACACTGCCTGTATTTTGTATGTTTCCTGAAATCTGGTCAAGTACAAATGTAACTGACATTCATTTACACTAGGTGTAAATGTGTGTTGAGGTGACTCACTGAAGGTCATGACAATTAGTTACTAATTTAAGCAAAGTAAAAATGTCATTCTTGTTCTACTGAGCTGCTACCCCAAAGTGACTTTAAATTCTAGAAAAATAAGACTGTATCATACACACACACACACACACACAAAAAAAAACAAACAAACAAACAAACTCCGTGATTTTAGTCCGCAAGCGAACTATACTGACTGCCTCTGTTGTCTAGTGGTTAGAGTTCCTGGATACACATCCAGAGGTCCGGGTTTGGTTCCCGGCGCTACCAGATTTTTTTCTGAGAAGTCGTGAGTCTGGAATGGGGTCCACTCAGCCTCGTGATAATAATTGAGGAGCTATTTCAAGGAAATAGCGGCTCTGGTCTAGAAAACCGAAATTAACAGCCATGGGGATCCGTTACACTGACCATAAGAAATCCTCTATCCGCAAAAGTTGTCACTAAACTTCACCAACAAGTAGCAGTCGCTCAGTATCACACACACAAGGGGGGTAAATATTGTGCCTGTTGAAATGATGGCTACTTTATCAGCTGTAACACAAAATGAAAGCATGGTTATAAAAGGTAAAAAAAGGTAAAGTTGTCCCAGTGCTCAATTAGTTAAGCACTATACCATGAAGACATATGGGAGAGTGTATGTATAGCTTCACTATTATTGACCTCGGCAATAGATGGAAGTGGTCAGCTCCAAACCCCTGCCACTTTGCCTCCAGGAAAGAGCACCTGTACTCCTTAAATTGGAGGTTTTGTGGGCCCCAGAGCTGTCTGGGGTAGTCACCTAAAAGCGAGATGAGCCATCCGGGGAACTTTGCCCTCAAAACTGTCATCGAAGCTCGGGCTGTGTGAGCCGTGGCACCATCCTGTTGGAACCAGACATTTCCTAGATGCATTTCTTCAAGAGTTGGTTCAAAAATGTTTTTAATCATGTCCACATACCGCTGTGAATTGAGATGATTGTCCTCTTCAAAAAAAAGGGGCCAATAACTCCAACTCTCAACAACGCACACCATACTGTCACCTTATTACTGTGAAGTGGCCTCTTATGGAGCTCTCTGGGATCGTTACCACTCCAATAGTGCATATTCTGCTTGTTGACATATCTGGATAGGTGTAAATGTGCCTCATCACTAAAGAAAACAAGTGCATCAGGGCGTAAAGTTTCCAATAATGTTTCGTACACCATTATTTGGTTCTGGAAATCATGTGGTGACAATTCTTGCACAATAACCATCTTATAGGGATGGAAATGAAGATGTTCGTGAAGAATTTGGTGCATTGAACAATTGGATATGTCTAGGGCGACTGCATGTTTGCGAGCGGAGCGTCTTGGAGATCTCAAAATCAACTGTCGAATTGCCTCCACATTTTCTGGTGTTGTAACAGTCCACTGTCATCCTGATGATTTTTTCACCACACTCCCAGTTGTCCTAAAGTTCTCTACCCACAAAACAATCGATTTCCAGTTGGGAACCGGACCTCTGGGCTTAATTCCAAAGTGAGTACAGAATGCACGCTGCACCGCCACGTAGGAATGGCTGTTCGAAAAATAAGCTTCAACAGCAAACGCACGCCGCTCACTTGTCCACCTCATGTTTCCTACTAAGAGGTATTAGACAGAAACTTCCGTGACTGCTGCGTACACCGAGCCTATCCCCACTTTTCTGCGACCTTCCTCCCTTCACAATGCGTCTTCACAAAAAGGAAGTTTCTGCGCCCCACCCTGTATAATGAATTCATCTGGGTAGACTGAGGAAAACCACAAATTCATCAGGATGATGCTGTTGCAACCAAATACTTACTTCCAAGCTCCATTCAATTGCTCCAAAGGATGGTTAGGATGGTGTGAATGTGACTGAAGGCAGAGGGTCCTGTGGTACTGGTTCCAAGCTTGCTCTTGACAGGTGCTGCTGCAGTACCATACCTGCATACACAATAACAGAAAAAGTATCATTAAGAAAATGCTGTGAAGTGCATACAAAGCCCTGCCTTAGTTTTCATATGTTGCTAATATTGACTATACAAGTAATAAAAACATTAAATAAATAACTGAACAGAATAACAAAATGAATAAGTGTTTAGCTACCACTATCATATAACAGTTGGTAAATGATGAACGGAAAAATAAGCAGCTCTGTCTTCTGGAATACAATGCCATGAAGTCCATTGAAAATTCAACTAATACATAGGTTGTACAGAAAGTCATGAGCAACTATTTTTTGCATGCAACCTGGGAACAGCAGACGAAAGAGAGTACAGTGGTAGGTGCAACCAGCTGTTGTGTTAACCTTGAGTGTCTTGTGATGTCAATAGCTTGCATCACGTGACCAGTATCACTCCTAACAAAATGGCTGACGACATGTCGTTCGCCAGCGTGCTGTCATCGAATTTCTTATGAAAGAGGAAATCCCTGCTGCAGAAATTCACCAGACACTTCAGCGTGCTCATGGCAGTGTGTGCATGGGTGCGAGCAGTGTTCGAAGATGGGTAAAACATTTTAAAGATTGGAACACCAGCACCGAAGATGAGCCTCGGAGCAGTCGTACTCAACCAGCCTCAACTGAACGCAACAAGGAAAGAGTGGATGAGATCACTCAAGTTGACAGGTGTGTGACTGTGGACACAATAGCCCGAAAACTTGGAATTGGGCATAGTACAGTACAGGAGATGATTGAAAGCTTGGGCTATAGGAAAGTTTGTGCTTGGTGGGTCCAGCGGTTATTGACCGAAGACCAGAAAGGTCAGTGAAAAGCCATCACCTCAGAACTGCTGCAGAGATATCGACACGAAGGCGACGATTTTTTGCTCTGTATTGTGACAGGTGACAAAAGCTGGTTTCACCATTTCAAGCCTGAAACGAAACGGCAGAGTATGGAATGGCATCATTTGCATTCTCCATCAAAAAAGAAGGCAAAGACAGTGCCATCAGCTGCGAAGGTGATGGGCACAGTCTTCTGGGATGCAGAGGGGTTTATTCTGGCCGAATTCCTGGAACCTGGGCAAACCATCAATGCTGCTTGTTATGTCCAGATGCTGCACAAGCTCCGTCGTGCATTGCATGATAAACGTATGGGATGAAATATCATCATCCTTCATGACAATGCTTGCCCCCACGCTGCTCGCCTCACATTGGAAGCAACTGCAAAGATGGGGTGGAAGTTCTTCCACACCCCTCCTACAGCCCTGATCTGGCACCCTTCGACTACCATCTTTTCGGATTTGTGAAGGATCAGCTGCGTGGACGTTTCGAGACAAGGGAGGCAATTCAGAAAGCAGTGCATCAGTGGCTGGAACGGAATTTTACAGAAGAGGAATTTTCAAACTCCCAGAATGCTGGGAGAAATGTGTACAAAGAAGTGGTGATTATGTGGAAAAATAAACAAAGGTCTGTAGATTGAGGTGGTGTATTTGGTTTGTCAATAATAAAGTACGTTACTTTACAAAAAATTGTTGCTCATGACTTTCAGTATGACCCTCGTATTTTCGAGGAATATGTCGCCTCCACCTTCAGCGTCAAAGAATATGCCAAGCAAGAGCTGTAACATTGATCACACTGGTTTCTTCCTTAGCTATTCACTTGACTTTCAACTGACAATGTGATATTACATCCCAGAGGATAGCACTCTTCAGTACCATTGCTGTGAGAACCTGGAATCCTACAAAAATTAATATTAATAGGAGATTCAAGTATCCAAAATTCACCACTACATTGTATACCATATCAGCACGTATGAAGCCACTCTTATCATGATTGTATAACTTGATGAAAGTTCAATCATGAGTCCACCTACAAACAAAATGTATGGCCACAATGAACATATCAAGCTTCATCACTGACAGACAGCTCCATTGAATGATTATTCCTCCATTTGTGTTCACTTGGCAGAATTCTACATATGACAAAACAGGCTGCCTCCTCTTCAGCTATCAGCAAACACTACAAATTCACAATTTCCAAAGAAATTCACGATGTGAAATGTCACACTAATCGTTATGAACTTGTTGGAGAGAACATAAAAAAATGTTGTTAAAACTTTGAAGTGAGTTCTTTCACTGAAAAAAACTAGTCAACAGCACCTGGAATAACAAAGGCCTATGCTAAAAGCACCTGCTATCATGCAAATCTCCTCAAAGTACAGGGTGGGGCGCAGAAACTTCCTTTTTGTGAAGATGTATTGTGAAGGGAGGAAGGTCGCAGAAAAGTGGGGATAGGCTCGGCGAACGGAGCAGTTGCGGAAGTTTCTGTCTAATACCCCTTAGTAGGAAACATGAGGTGGACAAGTGAGCAGCGTACGTTTGCTGTTGAAGCCTATTTTTCGAACAGCCATTCCTACGTGGCGGTGCAGTGTGCGTTCTGTACTCACTTTGGAATTAAGCCCATAGGTCCGGTTCCCAACCGGAAATCGATTGTTTTGTGGGTAGAGAACTTTAGGACAACTGGGAGTGTGGNTGAGTGTGGTGAGAAAATCATCAGGACGACAACGGACCGTTACAACGCCAGAAAATGTGGAGGCAGTTTGACAGTCGATTTTGAGATATCCAAGATGCTCTGCTCGCAAACATGCAGTCGCCCTAGACATAGCCAATCATTCAATGTGCCGAATTCTTCATGAACATCTTCATTTCCAGCCCTATAAGATGGTTATTGTTCAAGAATTGTCACCACGTGATTTACAGAACCGAATAATGGCGTACGAAACATCATTGGAAACTTTACGCCCTGATGCACTTGTTTTCTTTAGTGATGAGGCACATTTACATATGTCAACAAGCAGAATATGCGCTATTGGAGTGGTAACGATCCCAGAGAGCTCCATAAGAGGCCACTTCACAGCGATAAGGTGACAGTAAGGTGTGCGTTGTCGAGAGCTGGAGTTATTGGCCCTTTTTCTTAAGAAGACAATCATCTCAATTCACAGCAGTATGTGGACATGATTAAAAATTTTTTTGAACCAGCGCTTGAAGAAATGCATCTAGGAAATGCCTGGTTCCAACAGGATGGTGCTACAGCCCATACAGCAGGAGCTTCAATGACAGTTTTGAGGGCAAAGTTCCCCGGATGGCTCATCTTGCTTCGAGGTGACATCCCATGGGCAGCACACTCACCTGATCTAACGCCCTGTAATTTATTTTTTATGGGGATACCTCAAGGCAGAGGTTTTTAAACATCGCCCCACAAACCTGCTTCAGCTGAAGAATGTTATTCGGCAGGAAGTAGCCCAGATTCTGGTGGACATGTTGGAACGTGCAGAGGGGAACTTCAGAAAACGGTTGCATCAGTGCATAGAGAATGGTGGGCACCACCTTCAAGATATTTTGTTTAAAACTACATGATTTAAAACTTTAAAGTATGTTCCTTCATTAGCTAAAAATAAATTTTGTCTATCAGCAATAATTTTTCTTTTATTCGCCTTCAAAAAAAGGAAGTTTCTGCGCCCCACCATGTATATGAATACATTAATTATATAATCAAAATTAAATTAAATCTCCTCAAAGTATATGAATGCATTAATTATATAAACAAAATTAAATTTTATAAGCTTTGCTTGCCGCCTGCTTCCACGCTGGTTTCTTGCTCAGTTTATTCTTTTGTCTTGAAGACAGAGGCAATATGTTCCTCTGAAATGTCAGTTAACTTCTAGTGGACTACATGTCGTCATATTACAGACGACAGTGCTCATCAAATTCTATAAGATTTGTGGTTTTCTGTGACAAAAATTCATATTGTAGTCTTATGACTTATGACACCATAAAGTCTGGTAGATGAATACCTCTTTCTTAATTACATTCTCAGTGTGGGGTGGGACTGAATACCTTAACACTGTAAATGGCCCATTGTACAAAAAGGTAAAGTTGTCCCTGTGCTTAACTAATTAAGCACTATGCCATGAAGGCGTATGTGGGAGCGGATGTATAGACCCACATTTTCTTGACCTTGGCAGTAGCTGTACGTGAGTGGTCACCTTCACGCCCCGGCCGCCTTTACCCCCGGGGGCAAGAGCACCTGGTGCTCATTGGATAGGAGGCTAGGTGTGCCCCAGAGCCGGTCTGGATGACATGGAGAAGAGAAAATTCTAAACCATACCGGGACTCAAACTCCAACCCCTCGGTCATCCAGAATGTAGCCAGTTGCTATACAGACTGCACTATTCCAGCTCACAATGTACCAGCCCAATAAAAGATGAAAGAAATGAAGCATATCATGGAATGACAACTGCCAGGGCATACTGAAGTACTGGGAGAAAAACTGTCCCAGTGCCATTTTGTCCACCACAAAGCCCACATAAACTGACCTTGTACTGAACCCAGGTTGATGCAGCATGAAACTGCAACTAACTGCCTCAGATATGTTTCAGGGGCACGTGCTGCTCATCTGACAGACTGCATAGTATCCAAGCCAAGAAGATCACAAGGTTAAATCTCAATTTTAATTTGAACAAGCAAACACACATAAAATATCACCTTACCCCACATGATGGACACTGAGTGTGGGAGTTCCTGTTTGTTGGACAGCAGTGGGGATATGGCAACACAATATCCTTCTTGCCTGTAAGTCTTCGTACATTTTCCTCAGCTCCCTCAAGTGGCCTATGCAATCCACATCAATCCAAATAAAACATACTCTTTCGTTGTTTACTTTCCCTATAGTACGGACAATACTTTGTAAGATGAGGCACCGACTAAACAGTTAACATGAATTTACTACATCTACATCACGAGCCTCCTATACAATCTTATATACAGAAAGAAAATATAGAATATTCCAATTTGTCCATGGGAACGCACAAAATTACAAAACCAATGACTGATTCGATGTTATAAAACATCAATTAAAATTTTATTCTCGTTTTATACTATAACTTCTGTTTTATATAATCTGATTTATTGTATTTTTTACGTCAAGTGTTTTATATGATTAATAGTACTGTATCCAGTTTAACAGTACTGCAGTTCAGTGGTGTATATATGTTAACCATGTATTTGCCTGATGATGGTTATGATAGCCGAAACATGTAGCAGAGCCGTAGCTGGGCGCTGATCTTGATATTTGTTGTGTTGTGACGGTTAATAAAGCGGTTGTATACTCTTACTGTATTTCATTTAAGTACCCTCCCATTTATTACAGATGAAGTGACAGGAGGTTGGAGAAAACTGCATAATGAGGAGCTTCATAACTTGTACTCTCCTCCAAGTACAATTAGAACGATCAAGTCAAGGAGGATGAAGTGGGCAGGGCATGTAGCATGAATGGGGAAGACGAGGAATTCATATAGGATATTGTTGGGAAGGCCAGGAGGAAAGAAACCATTGGGAAGACCAAGGCGTAAGTGGGTGGACAATATTAAAACGGTTCTTAGAGAGATAGGATGGGATGGGATGGTATGGACTGGATTGATCTGGCTCAGGATAGGGACCAGTGGAGGGCTCTTGTGAACACGGTAATGAACATTCTGGTTCCATAAAATGCTGGGAAATTCTTGGGTAGCTGCAGAATTGGCAGCTCCTCATGAAGGGCTCAGCTCAATGAGTAAATAAGTATTTAAGTAATCCTCCCATCTATTATTGTTAAATATGCATAGACATGAATAAAAATAATCCTGCTTTCATTACTGATTGACGACACTATACTGTGGTGGTCTATTCTGCCAGTGTTTCAAGGGGTGGAGAAAAACAACTTACCACAACACAGTGACATCCAAAAATGGAAGAAATTTTAGCTGCATAAGTGCCTGATGACTACTACATGAATAAAACTGTCACACATGCTATCAAGGTTTCATTTTAAGACATGTGTAACATTCACAACATGCAAATATTAGTCATTAACAACCTCTCAAATTGGCATTTAATATCACATCAAACATTAATCAATATTAATTATTACATTCAAAATGCAATAGTTACATTTTACTGGGTCCACAGAAAGAAGTTTCATGGATCATACAACTCCACATTCTGCCAACATACTGTTCTGTATTCCCTTCCAGCAGTTCAGAAATTCTGCTTAAAGTGATGTTGGTGGTGACAACCACACAAGAATCTTCACTAGTGACAAGTGCACTGGACTGGTTGATACAAACCAGAATGGGCTGGAGACAAAACACTAGACCACAGAAGGGGAGAAGACTGAAGTGCTCTCACCCCCTATCCACAATACTTCTTCCCAGGACCTCAGTATAACTCTAAAATAGATGGAGTGGAGTTTAACACAAAATATTGTGCAATTTATTACTTTCAATAATGTTCACAAACAATCTATCCCAAAGACCAGAGAAAGTTCTGAAACGAAGTTAAGGAGACTTCACAAAGTTATTAATTAAACTGAAAATTTGCCATGTTTAAAGTGGTGAAAACATATTATCAAATCCCATAAAACACATGACCACATGTATCAAAAGTGCACAAAACTGATACAAAATACTCTATTCATTTTGTTCTGTCAAAATAAGGAGCCACTTTGTAATGGCATCCCAAAACTGTTTGTAATTTATAATAACAGTCCCATTCTGACTCCTCCTTGTGTTCCTATGAATGTTACCATTGTAACAAATTTCCAAGATTTTGGAAAAACATATCTTCACAGCATGGTGCTTGAACACAGGAAGAACTTTACTCGTCCCCTCAAAACTGGTAAATGAACATACCTATCAATAGCAACTAATGGGTCCACTGTAAAAAGGATGTAGCTCTATTTTAAGAAACTTTAGGAAAACAATAAAAATATGTTTAAAAACTAATTTTAAACCATACCATGGCATGTCTCAACTTTCAGAGTAACATGTAACTGGTCACTTGAGCCACACTGTTCTACCATCAATATATTCAATCATTCTCTATACATATTAAACAAAGTAAAACTAAATTTTGGCAGAACGAGCAATATGTTTTTTGCATTTGACCCTTAAATTCTACCCAAAGAACCAGAGAAGATTAAATACCATTAAAAGTTTAAGTTCTTCACTGAATGAAACTGTATATGCCAAACTCTAATCCAACCATTATTTATAATTCTCACCTCATACAAAAATCACATGCTAGATAACCATATGCAGCATTCCATGCAAACTGACAGCAAACCAAGGGTCTCTCCTCAAATATAACATCACCTGCTTTGAAGGGCTTCACAGCAAACAAACCTTTGCCCTGTTCAAACACAACACATCAACTATAAGATTTCTGAACAAAAGTATATTTTCTAGCTCATGAATGCTGAACCTTTTCACTATCTGGTTCAAAATATATATCAAGAGTTAAATACCAATATGAAATGGTGCCAACCATTCTTGTTCATCCAGCAGAACCCTGGGGGACTTAATGAGATACGTATCTACTGCTCCTACCACACAATTCTAGACAGTCCAATTCTCAACTCCCACAGAACCTCCTATCCAATGGTTGCTGGGGGTTCTTTCCCTGGCAGTAAAACAACCAGGGTACGAAGTTGCCCACTCACCTCTATGTAGTGCCATGGTCAAGAATGGTGGAACTATACCTCCATTCCACCACACACCTCCATGAACTTTGCTTAATTAAACACAGAGATAATTTTACCTTTACCTTCACCAAATGTCAACTTCTGTGCATGATTACAAGGAATTTACTGTACATGTACATGAATGTGAGGTTCTAATAGAAGTGACTATGGAGGTATAGCTCCACCATTCTTAATCTCAGTACTAGAAGACGTGGTCAGCTTCATGTTCCTGCCACTTTACTTCCAGGAAAAGAAGCCTCTGTACCCATTGTGTAGGAGACTGGGTGGCCCTCCGAGCAAGTCTGGACATTACAGAGAGATGAAAATCTCTTGCCCCTGCAACCCTGAATCCTCAGCCATCCAGCCCACAGCCAAGTCACTATACCAACTGAGTTATCAGAGCTCTCTTCTTGGCATGGTGCTTAATAATTTAGCTCAGGGATAACTTTACCTTTCTTTTACCTTTATAGTAGCGACTATGAAGAGTACTATCTCCTGGGATGAAATACCACATAGACTGGTAAAAGTTCAGTGATGTTTCAGAAAAACATACTGCCTCCATCTTCAGGGTAAAACAGTACAATAAGCAAGTAGCTACCAAGAAGCAGGCCACAAATATCTTGGGTTAATACTTTCCAAACCATACAATTATTTACTGTTTATAGACTGTACACTGTATTTGCAGAATTCAAGTTTTTAACTCAGACATAATTTATGTCCATTGTATTTCACTATATCATCACACTTGCTTCTCAGATTTAAAGAAGTAACAAAATACAATTGAACAAATACCTTTGACTCCCCTATAAACCGAACTTCAAATGCAGGGCTATCCAATGCACTGTCGTCACGGATTTCAGCCATGCATACACATCACCAGATGTCCAATAGCCTGGAATACATGACCCCATTACATAAAAAGTATTGATCTTCGTTGCTTATTCAAGCATGAATGAATGAATGCATTAATTCATTATTCAAGCATCATCACATTCCTAATAGCTGCTGACCAATCACACTATGCAAAGGAATCAACATTACATTAATCGATTCTCTAATTAAATCTCGGATAAAATCTATCCATTTCATCCTTCAAGTGAGGTCAAACTTCCCATATAAAATTACAGTTCAATACATTGCAATATTTAATTTTACTGAAAGTGTTCAGGAAGATAAAGGATTCTCATCTGAATAAGCAAATACAGTGGGTACATTTAGGGCATGCATTTTTCCATTTCATATTTATATACATTATGTCGACTTGTTACTACTGTAGTAACCACATTATTAAAGGGGTTTCTGAATTCCTGATCCATGGATTAGTCTTATACACTGGTACATACTCACCTATCAACATGGCTGATGCTGTTTCTTTGAACCTATATCGATCCGGTAAAGATTCGTATATTAATGACAAGCTTTGTTTCAATACTTTTCTTAAGTGTATATACTTGGAAGAACGATTACAAGCGACACTGTCTGAGTTAAGTTCGCTGCAATTGGCTATTAAACTTTTATATGCTGAATCTAATATGACTCATACAGAGAGTGAGGTTAGACCACATTCTGTACCAGCCTACGGTGAAACATTATTACCCACCACATGGTATACTGTTCAACCTAAAAGTATTAGAATGTGATAAAGTAGGAAGAACTGTAATCCCACAATCTACTGACCCAGTAATGACTACTAATAGACTTGCAGTGCTATCAAATCTTTCTGATTATCCATTATGAAGTGATTAATTATTATCTCGTGATGTTAGAAGAATGAACTTGACCAATCCCAGTGCCAATAATCTGAAGAATTCCAACCAACAGTATATGTGTAAACAATATAAATATCAACACAATCAACATTCTATTCAACAGGAGGCAACAACAATCAACATGGAATATGGGAATGGGAGTTATCATAAACGTGACATCGAATGCTGTCGCATACCATCATCAATGGGTATATACGCAATGGAGAGACAGGAAGGTACAAAATAGTGATGGTGCACCAAATGCCCAAAAAGTTTGTAATGAATCTGATAAAATGAAAGGTAATAGTAAAGTTGTAATTGCGAATAACAATTTAAAAAACAGAACAAAAGTATAATGAATATACTGAAAACAGTATAAAGGAAAAAGAAAAAATCTAAGAGACACAGAGTCCTGCTACTTGGGGGCAGTCAAACAAGAGGTTGTGCAGAATTATTGAAGCCGAATTTAAATAGTGAATTTGATGTCAGTGGGATATTATAGGTACAAATATTGATAAAGACATGTCAAAGGATGATATTGTAGTAGTCTGTGCTGGATCCAATGACATCAGTAAAAATAATGCAAAGGATTAAAAAACATAATTAACTTTGTAAAAAGAACCAGCCACACCAACATCATAGTCATGAAAGCACTACACAGACATGATTTAGTCGACTGGTCATGTGTAAACAAAGAGATTGAACTATTTGCAGACTTCTAGCCAAGACTGAAATTATATAAACAGGTGTCAATTAGTAGTCTAAATCTTGACAGACAACATTTTAAAAGACATGGACTGCACATGAACTATAAAGGAAAAGAAAAAATGTGCCAGCAAATAGCAGAATTGGTTCAACGAAAGTTTGGGACAGTGGTTAAAGCTTTCCAAGTTAACGCTATTCCACTAAAATACGAAGAAGACACAGTCCATGAAGAGGCTATTCAACTAGAATACAAAGAAGACACTATCCATGAAGAGGCTGCAAAAACCCAGGGGAACGAAACAGAGAAAACTTCAGCAGACCCATCCTTTAACTGTGCAGTGCTCTTTGAAAGAGTTCAACAACAGGAAGTTCATATGTCAACCAAACAAAGGAGGCCCACAGTAAAGCTAAGTAAAGATTTCTTATAGATAAGCATAGTGCTGGTATCCTCAAGAATTTTTGGGAATTTGGTTAGATAAGAATCTAAGGTGGACTGCACATACTCAACAACTAGCAAATAAATTATGTAAAATATGTTTTGTCTTATGAGTAGTCAAAAGAGTATCAGGGTTAGAAACTGTTCGCACCTTATATTATGCTTATTTTCAATCCTTGTTGTTATATTGATTGATATTTTGGGGCAATTCAGGAAATGCAAAATTGATCTTTAGGTTGCAGAAGAGAGCTATTAAAGGTATGATACAAATCCCAAAAACTATAAGTTGTAAACAATATTTTAAATCGTTACATATATTACCTTTACCATGTCTGTATATATATGAAATTCTAGTTTACATAAAAACCAACTTGAATGTTTTCATAACCAATTCAGGAATACACTCACACAATACAAGGAGAAAAGATGACTTGTTCACAGTGCCATGTAATATGTAAAAAAAGTAAGTAAAGCTATCCCTGTAACAGACCGTGAAGACCTATAGGACTGTGAGACATTGAGGGTCCCACATTATCTAGACAATCCACTCAAAGATGGCAGTATGGTTGTCAGCCTTATGCGCCAGCCGCCAGCCCCAGGAAAATTATTTAATTAATTCCTGGTACTCATTTCTGTTAGAGACTGGGTGAACCCCAGGGCCATAGTGCGGCTGGAAGGATTAGGTCAGTTGAAAAAATCCAATGACCTCATCGGGACCTGAACCTGTGACCTTCAGCCATGTAATATGAGTATATACAAAAACAAATACTGGACTTCGTATGTTAAATCAGTTGCCGCAATATATTAAAGAGATACCAGTACTATACAAGTTTAAAAAGACTTTGAAAACATTCCCACTTGATCATTGTTTCTATAGTACAGCCGAGTTTCTCTTGTTTGGGGAAAAATCCTAGTTCTAATCACTTGTAAACATATATTTCAAGAATAATTAACTTGCAGATTTTAATATTAGTACATGTTATAGGGATGCCCACTGCCCTATTCTGTATTTTTTTCTTACACGAACGAGATCAAGGATACCAGGGTATTACATACATACATACATCCATCAGCGTTTCAGAGTATTCATAAGTGTGCAACTGGCACTGAATATAAAACTTGTCAAACAACAGTCACAAGACAATCACAGATAAAATTGCAGAAACATCAATTCAGCCATAGTTAAAATCGAAACTGAATACATCAAATAGATACAATGTTACACATACAATTATACCAACAAGATAATTAGCAATACATAATAATTCTCCTTCCTTAACTTACACTTACACTTAATGTCTATATTAATGCCTACTGTGGGACATCCATCAGTCAGCATGCCCTCCCCCTTCTATTCCTTAGCTGTTGATCCAGACAGAAGAGCAAAAATTCATCAATGGAATATGACGGATTATGTATTAGGGCATCTCTTATTTCATTTATAAACTGTTTTTTATCATGTACTGAATTAGCTAAATATCCAGGCAGACTGTTAAATATTTTTATACTCATGCAATGGACCCCTTTCTGCCTCATTGTGAGATGTGATTGTAGGACATGTAAATTTCTTTCGTGTCTTGTTGGTCTCTCATAAATTGAATAATTAAAAGTAAAATATTCCAAGTTATTTATCCTAAAAGTCATCGAAGATAAAATATACTGAGACACCAATGTTAATATATTTAACTTTATAAATGCTGGCCTACATGACTCTCTATGTTTCATCCCCTTTATTATTCTAATAGTCTTCTTTTGTAAGAGAAAGATCTTCTTGGCCTCTGACGAA